CATCTTAGGCTAGGACATCCTAGTTTTTAATATCTTAAACATTTATTTCTTGACTTATTCAAAAATTTGGACTGTTCATCATTTCAATGTGAAAGTTGTGTTTTAGCGAAAAGTCATTGAAATACTTATATTTCAAAACCTTATCGTGTTTCAAAACCTTTTCATATGATTCATAGTGATGTTTGGGGTCCTTCAAGAATTAAAACCCTATCTAATAAAAAATGGTTTGTCACTATCATTGATGATCACATATGATTATGTTGGGTATATTTGATGCGTGAAAAATCTGATGTGGAAAAACTTTTCAAAGACTTTTATAACATGATTGAAAATCAGTTTCAAACAAAACTCAGTATTCTTCCTATCGACAATGGAACTGAATATTTTAATGAGCATCTGGGCCTTTTTTTAAAGGATAAAGGTATTCATCACCAATCCACATGTCGTGACACTCCAAAACAAAATGGGATTGCTGAAAGAAAAAATAAACACTTGCTTAAAGTTGCTCGTGCAATCATATTTTCTATGAATATTCCAAAATATTTTTGGGGAGATGCAGTTCTAACAGCATCCTACCTAATTAATAGGATGCCTACACGGGTTTTACAATATACCTCTCCTTTGAATTGTTTTCAAAAAAAATTTCCCACATCAAGGCTTTATACAGACCTACCATTAAAAATTTTTGGTTGCACCACATATGTACACCTACCTAGTCAATTTCGGTCCAAACTTGATCCTAAGGTAGAAAAATGCGTTTTCATTGGATATGCACCAAATAAAAAGGGATCTAAATGCTATAACCCAACAACAAAGAAAACTCATGTTAGTATGGATGTCATTTTTTTGGAAAACACCGTTTTTTCACAAAAATTCTCTTCAAGGGGAGAAACAACAAGGCGAAGATAATTTTTGGATAACTGAATCCTTACCTAAAATTATCTTATAAACAGTGTCTCCCTCTACTTCTACTCCAGTTTTGTCTGAGCAAGAAATTCATGTACAAGATCTTGAAAATGATGGATCCACTAGTCAAGAGATGCCAAACATAGATGAATCACAGACAGGGGGAGAAATACCACAGTCAAATAAGGAGTTGTTGGTTTATACTCGGAGAGGAACAAAGAAGAAGGCAAAAGAACCACATATCATTCTAGCACAAGACCAGTTAAAAACTTCGAGTGATAGACCCTTAGAAATTCCAAATAAATCCACTCTAAACTCTATTCCTTTCTTTGAACCTACTGATCTAGATATTCCTATAGCCATCAGAAAAGGAACTAGAGCCTGCACCAATCATCCCATTTCCAAATGTCTCTCATACAAAAAACTTTTTGAAAAACATAGAGCATTTACCTCTTAAGATTTCTGACTTGTTTGTTCCAAGAAATATTAAGGAAGCTCTAGATGATCCTAATTGGAAGTTAGCAGTTTTGGAAGAGATGAATGCTCTCAAGAGAAGTGGGACTTGGGAGGTTGTTGACTTACCTAAGGGTAAAAGGACAGTAGGGTGTAAATGGGTATTTTATTGTCAAATGTAGAGCTTATGGGAGCATAGAAAGATATAAGGCGAGGCTCGTTGCGAAAGGCTTCACCCAAACCTATGGGATTGATTACCAAGAGACATTTGCCCCAGTGGTAAAATTGAACTCAATCCGAGTTCTCATAGCCTTAGCCGTGAATGCTAACTGGCCTTTACACCAGTTAATCGTAAAAAATGCTTTCTTAAATGGAGATTTAGAGGAAGAAGTATTTATGAGCCTACCACCTGGATTTGAAGGAAAGCTTGATAAAATAAAGTATACAAGCTAAAAAAAATCCTTATATGGTCTTAAACAGTCCCCCAGAGCATGGTTTGAACGTTTTGGGACAACTGTAAAAGGCCATGGATATCATCAGAGTCAAGCAGATCATACCTTGTTCTACAAACATTCAATAGATGGTAAAATAGCTATTCTAATTATTTATGTAGATGACATTATCTTAACAGGTGATGACAATGCTGCATCGGAAAGACTAAAGAAGAAACTTGCAGATGACTTCGACATCAAAGATCTAGGTCCTTTGAAGTATTTCCTCAGAATGGAATTCACAAGATCAAAAAAGGGAATTATGGTCAGCCAACGCAAGTATGTGCTTGATTTATTGAAGGAAACAAGATTGCTCGGGTGTAAGGCAGCCGAGACTCCCATTGAACCAAACATGAAGTTAGAACCAGCCAAAGCCGAAGATGTGGTGAACAAGGAACAATATCAGAGACTTATTAGAAGTCCGATTTATTTATCTCATACTCGTCCAGATATAGCCTTTGCAGTGAGTACAGCAAGCCAATTCATGCATTCTCCAGGACCATAACACTTTGAAGCTGTGTACCGGATTTTAAGGTATTTAAAAGGAAGTCCTGGTAAGGGACTATTGTACCAAAAACACGGACATCTACAAGTAGAAGTTTATACCATGCCGATTGGGCTGGGAGTGTTACTGACAGAAGATCACCCTCCGGTTACCGTACCTTCGTGGGAGGAATCCTTGTTACTTGGAGAAGCAAGAAGCAGAATGTAGTAGCCAGAAGTAGTGCAGAGGCAGAATTTAGATCGCTAGCTCATGGGATTTGTGAAGTGATGTGGATAAGAATTTTGGAAGAACTGAAGATCATCAACCTCTCACCTATGAAGGTTTACTGCGACAACAAGGCAGCAATCTCAATTGCTCATAATCCCGTGCTTCATGACAGAACAAAGCACGTGCATGTTGACAAGCACTTTATTAAAGAAAAAATTGAGAGTGGAATCATTTGTATGCCTTTCATCCCAACCACAGATCAAACTGCAGATATACTTACAAAGGGACTTCCGAAAAGAAGATTTGACAGTCTAGTTAGTTGGCAAGCTGAATATGGAAGACATCTTTTCAGGTTGAGGGGGAGTGTTGGAAGATTCAGTCTAGCTGTTACCGAATATGATGAGATTCTTGTTGTAAATGTAGAATATGTCAACTCTCTAAATTAGGAGGGTTAGGTGGCTGTGATTAATTGATAGATTCTTAAGACTAATTAGTTGATTAGTTTCCTATTCTAGTTAGTTTCCTTTTCTTGTATTTTCTCTTCTATAAGAGAAACCGTGTAACACACCTTATAAAATATATACCAGAAAATATACCTTTTTTCACTGATCAGTTTAGGATTTTTTACATCACATATGTACACAACAAAAGACTTAGGAAACTGAATAGCCACGTACCTCATTAAACATCCTACGCAACCCATCATTTGGCTCAAAAATACGGTCGGTGTCATTGCTGTCCATGACTAAAATGAGACCCTGTATCTTTTGGAAGTAGCATCTCCACAAGGGTCCTATCTGAAAAGGAAATAAACCACAGATATGAGTATCAGGAAGTAACTTGCTTTATTTCAGAACAACAGAAAATGTTTTTTTTTTCTTTGGACAATATAGAAGTTATAATAAACAAATGGTATTTGATGCAATCACAGTTACCATAGGAGGAGAAATCCAACAAAATTAGCTTATCATCTGTATTAAGAGCATAAGCAGCAAATTTATGTAATTACTGGGATTTTTATGTCTTGATGTTAATGAATGGTGAGAATGGTGTATTAGACGTTGTTTTAACGTGATCAATGTATTTGATGAGTTGTTAAGACTTTTTGGTAATCTTATTTATGATTTACAGCATGAACGGTTTTAGAGGCGAGCACCTGAGGACTTCATTCGTCGCGTCACTGTTGCAAAATTTTAAAAGGTTAAGTAAGGCGCTCATGTAAGTACACTCTCACCTACAACATGAATTAAGAAGTACATGATTTTAATGTTTATGATGATGTTATGACACCTTTAATATTTCATATGATGACGTTTTGAAGAAAAATGTATGTGTATTTTTATGTTTTTAAATGGCGTTGTACACCCTTGAGTTGATGGTGACCGGTGAGCGGTCTTATTGCCACGGTTGGTATGAGATTTGCTACCCCATGTTTTCCGTGCTTAGCGCGCTATGATGGTACAACGTAGAGCCCAATATATGATGAATTTTAAAGTTTAAACATGTTCAAAAATAACTATTCTCAGGATGACGTTTATTCTTGATGAGTAAAAATGTTCATTTACATTTGTGAGATTTAAGTGTCTTACTAAGCCCTTGCTTATATGAGTTATTTCATGTTTCAGACAATCTAAAGGGTAAGATGTAGGCACGGAGAATCTTGGAGCGGATGCGAGTTATGCGTGATAGGAAAACGGGAGAAACGATGACTTTTTTTTTAAGTTTATTTCATGGTATGAATTTTAATAATTAAGTTGAACCGACATGTTTTTTTTTTCTTTGAGGAAGTTCAAAATTTTTAAAGTTATAATATGTTTTTTTTTTTTTAACAAAAAATTCTAGGTTTTCTTTAAGTCATTCAAAGTAAAGTGTTTTAAGTTTAACTATTTTTCGCATTCTTTAAGAGGTAAATGTGTGGTTTTGAATGAGAATTATGTATTTAGTTGAGCCAAAACATGGCTCTTTATACACGGTATACAGGCTGTCTTTACAACTATGATTACATTAGAAAAAAGGAAACAAAAACTATTTAGGAAACAAATCACCTAATCAAGAAACAGGAAACTAATTACACATTAATCCTTGAAAGTCAACTATCTACTTCCCTAAAATGTATTCGGATTCTTTCCTATTTTCTGACACTCCCCCTCAAGCTGGTGAGTATACATCTTTCATTCCTAGCTTGGAGATAATTTCTTGGAATGCTACGTTATCCAAGCCCTTGGTGAGTACATCTGCAAGTTGTCCTTTGGTTGAGATATATGAAGTACAAATCAGTCCACTATCCAACTTTTCCTTTATAAAATTCCGATCCACCTCAATATGCTTTGTTCGCTTGTGTTGAACAGGATTATGAGCTATACTTATTACAGATTTGTTGTCACACAATAGCCTCATAGGTCCTTCCCACTTGATTTTTAAATCCTCTAGGATTATCTTTATCCACAGTAACTCCATATCCCCAGTGCCATTGCCCTGAACTTGGCCTCTGCGCTTGATCTTGCTACCACATTATATTTCTTACTTATCCACGTCACAAGATTACCTCCAAGAAATGTGCAATAGCCTGCGGTAGATCTTCTATCAATAGGAGAGCCTGCGTAATCTGCATCGGTATAGACATCAAGTGACATTCCACCATTCCTTCTTAATAGAACACCTCTACCAATATTTCCCTTCAGGTAGTGTAGTATTCTGTTTACCGCATGCAAGTGAGCCTCCTTGGGAGCTTGCATAAACTGACTCACAACACTCACGGCAAACGCAATGTCTGGTCTAGTATGAGTTAAATAATTGAGCTTTCCAACCAGCCTCTGATACATCTCCCTGTCTGCTGCTGGACTTTCACTTGCTTCGTCCAGTTTTTGATTTACATCAATCGGTGTGGTTGCTGGTTTGCATGCCAATTACCCCGTCTCTCTTAAGAGGTCTGTGACATACTTCTGCTGTGAAATAAGGATCCCTTCACTGGAGTGAGCTACTTCAATCCCTAAGAAATACTTCAGTTTACCAAGCTCCTTCATCTCAAATTCCTTGGCTAGACACTTTCTCAAGGCCTCTTTTTCCTTCTCATCATTCCCAGTCATAATTATGTCATCAACATATACCAAGAGAGCTGTCACTCCTCTTGAATCTGAGTGCTTGATGAAGAGTGTATGGTCTCCCTGACTCTATCTGTATCCAATGGCTAGCATTACTTTTGAGAATCTTCCAAACCAGGCTCTAGGAGATTGCTTAAGACCATATAATGCCTTCTTCAACCTGTACACCTTGTTATCTCTTGTATTATCTTTGAATCCAAGTGGATTCTCCATGTATATCTCTTCCTCTATCTCGCCATGGAGAAAAGCATTTTTTACATCAAACTGATCCAAATACCAGTTGTAGTTGACAGCCAGAGACAGTAGGATTATGATGGTATTCATTTTGGCCACTGGAGCAAATGTCTCTTGATAATCTACCCCATAAGTCTGTGTGTATCCCTTTACCACAAGTCGGGCTTTGTACCTTTCAAGTGAACCATCTGACTTGTACTTCACAGTATACACCCATTTGCACCCCACGGCTTTCTTCCCTTGTGGTAGATCAACAACCTCCCATGTATTATTCTTCTCAAGTGCCTGCATTTCTTCTCTCATAGCAGCTTTCCATTTCTCATCAGATAACGCCTCATAAATAGTATTAGGAGTATGAATAGTATTTAACTGGACCAAGAAATTTTTATGTGAAGGTGAAAATCTTTCAAGTGACACATATTTTGCTAAAGGATACAAAGGATGTTTAGTGCATTCTCATGTACCTTTCCTAACAGCAATGGGAAGGTGAACATCATCAGATATTGGAGAAGTAATGTTTGAAACTGTACTTACCTCAATTCTAGGAGTGGGAGCTGATTTTTGGACTTGTTCTGGAGTGGGATCCGGATCCCTACGCCTAGAGTAAACCTGGTCAAACCTAAATGTGTCATGGATTCCTGTCATTGGTGGAGAAGTTGGTTCTGTTTGAGATAGTTCAGGCTCTGTTTGGGATGGCTCAGGTGACTCAGCTACTGGCTTTGCCGGCTCCAGAGGTATTGGTTGAGGCAAGGAAGGAGGCAATATCCTGGAAGGGGAAGAAGATATGTCGAGCAAAAATGTGTCCCTATCCTTATCTTCCATAAATGGCATTAACTCCCCCTGAAGATGAGGTTGAGTGAAATATGGTTTGTGTTCTTCAAACGTAACATCAACTGAGTTGTAGGTTTTTTTGGTGGGTGGATGAAAACATTTGTAACCCCTTTGGGTTGGAGAATATCCCACAAAAATACACTTGACAGCTCTTGGATCTAATTTTCCCCTATTGTGGCTATGAATGTGAACGAATGCAGTGCATCCAAAAATTCTAAGACTTTCGGGGGCAGTCGGTTAATCATATATGCAGCTGTGAGAACAGCTTCCCCCCAATAGTTTTTCGGAACATTTTGGTGAAAGAGAAAGGCTTGAGTGGTTGCTAACAAGTGACCATTTTTTTTTTCTGCCACACCATTTTGTTGGGAGTATTGATACACAAGGATTCACGAACTATGCCTTCTTTTTGAAAATACGGAGAAAGGGTTTGATTGAAATAATGAATGCTTTCTTTTTTTCTCCGTATTCTTTTTGCATTTTTGCAGAAATGATTCCCTCTGTAAATGTTCTTAGTCTGGTCTAATTTCTAGCTCAAAAATTGACTATGCGGCCGGTTTCATCTTTAGAAGTAGGTACTTCTGGGCAGATCTCTTCAGTGAAACTATAAACTTGGGTTATGTGAATGTGCAGAAAGGTTGTGAACATATTATCGCAAAAACCAAATGTATTTTCTTATCTTTTTTTTTAACTTCTGTGTATAGCTTTTTTATGTCTGTTGCTGATATGGAATGTATTGGTTTGTTGTAGTGATATTAATGTCTGTGGTTTGTGTTTTATTATTTTTGTTCGTATATAGTTTTGTTATGTTATTAATAGATGCTACTAATATATACTGCTTACAAAAATTTTCTGTTGTTGTTAACAAATGTTGGTGATCTATGTCTATTTTCTTTTGTGCTTCATTAATAAATAGATATTAACTTTTTGTTTTTTTGTTTGTTAGTGATATATATATATATACATACGTATCTTTATTTTATATATTTTAGTTTTATTTAGTTTTTTTATGTGGCGATAATGATTATAATCAATTTTGAAATGAGATCATATGAGAATTCTATCCAAATGTTTCTTTTGCTAAGCCCATAGCTATAAAACTGATCTTATCCAAATGTCTCTTTTGCTAAGCCCATAGCTAAAAAACTTATATTTTATGTTAGTTTATGGTTGTTGAGCTTTGTTTTAATTCCTATTTGTAACATGTTATATACCTCCTCAATGAACAATGATGCCTGTAGAGATGAGACAATATCCAACTTCATTATGATACAATACTGTATTTGCATTTTCAAAAGATACAAAAAATATATATTTACATTTCTTAAGTGATAAGAAACAACATCATGGGAAAAGTTTTATGAGAATAATTTTCAGTAATTGATCCCCAAAACTTATTTATCTATGTTGTATGTTTTTTTTATTTACACTACATATAATTAAAGATTTTCATCTTCTTTAATTATTATTATTAATTTTTTTAATTTGTATTTTGCAGTTAAGAAGAGTAAAAGAAAAAAGACAAACAAAAGTTATAATACATTGTAAGAAATTTTTAAGTAGCATATTATATAAATATATCTATATGTATATATGTATAAATAAACAAATCTTATACTATAAAAATGTTTAACTTTTTGTATAATACAGCAGTATTTTCCGTGGCAATGCGTGAATTCTCAGCTAATATATATTTAATACTTTATTTATTTACCCTTATAAAATTTTTATCATGTAATAAGCACTGTCATTGAGGTTATATCTCTTTATTTCAAAAAAAAAAAGTTATTAGCACGGTTAATCATTGAACTTTAAGTATAGTGATATTTTAATTTCTAAGTTTTAATTTTGATATTTGGATTTTATTTCCTAACAATTTTGATCCTTAACAGTAAAATTGATTTATCTATACGATGGGCTACAAACTAGAGGGTTTCTTCACCCTTGCATAATGTATATAAAGGACAAGAGAAAATGCGACAAATACATTTTTTTCCCATTTAATGTAGACAGATACCCTTTAAATAGTATCTTTTTTTATATTTGACCCACAAACATAGGCCCAATTATTTTTAGTCAAATAATTATATTTATCAAAAGATGATTAATTAAAAGTAGGGAGAAAAAAATCTAAATACATACACTTTAAGAGTAAGTGTAACAATTTTCTCAAAGAAGAAAGCACACGGGTGTTTACATATTAGGCAATTTTTAAGAATACCTCTTAAAATTGAGTCCAATTTTATTTCTATCCCTTAACATTAGTCCATATATTTCTACCTTTTATATTATAACTAATTAATGGGTAGAGTTTTTTAAAAATAATACTTTTAATAAATCAAATATTTAAGAAAGGAGAATCTGTAATTTTCTCTTACATATTCACACCTAGAAGACCACGAGTGTGCTTACTTGAATTTTGTTTTTCATAAAACTTGTTTTTCTTGGGTATCATTTAGATGTAATGGAATCAAATAAAATGAAAAATTGAATTACTTTGACATGATGGCTCACGTAATATCTGAATTAGTACTCTAAAAATTGGTAAAGAAAATCGATACATTTAATGTTACTTCTGTAGTTTCTTAGGGTAATGATAATTACATTTATCAAATGTAGAAAATCTATTAAGATAATACTTAATTTTGTGTAAAGTCCATCTTAATTTTTTTCTTTTAAAATTCGTAAATAATCTTTCTCACAATTTGATAAAATTATTGTTACTAAGTATGATAGTTTGGATGTGATAAGTTATCTTCTCTCTCTTTTTTTTAGAATGAAAAATTTCATTAATAAATTAACAAATTATACAAAAATCACAAATCACCACAACTTATAAGAGAATTCGATCCCCGACATTGATTGAAGCCACCAGTGAAGACCGATGAAGAACAAGAGCAAACATAAATGTTAAGATCTAATGGGGAAGACCCGCTCGGCACAAACAAAATCGAGCACGACCAAAGCTCATTAACAAAAACCATTACAGTCGATTGATAAAACCAGTCAAGACCAAACCCCTAATACTGGGGATACAAGCGACACGACCTACAAACAACTCTAGGTGCAAACAAACACACACGCTGTCAATAACTAATTCAGACAAGTAGGACACATAAATAAAATCGAAATGTGGGGAAACCACCTCCGTTATTACAATATATAAACTAGGCAAAAACAACGCTTTATTTAAAATTAACAAAACACTATGAAACTTATGAACAACCTTAGCCATAAAGGAATAGATGTCAGCGACAAGCCACAACCATTATAGGAAGTCAAAGAAAACAAATATGAGCAGAGTCATCCCAACGAAAGCGCAACGGCCACCGATGATGAAGCTGAACACAAAAACAACCCAAATGATGTCCTTACACCATATATCCACCAACAACCTCTTGCTCCTTGTACCAACAAAAGCCGTCAAGCCTCCATTTCCAATGTCAGTAGCCCTAAGACACTAGACAACTCTCCTCTGAACCATATAGATGAAGGGGCCAAGACTCCAAAGCAATGACGATATCAGATTCCTACTCACTAGATCTATGCCTCCATCGCCAATGGACCGCGCCCATCAACCACTAATCACACCTGCATGACCTCAGCCACCGTCTCAAATGCTAAGAATATTGCAACTAATCAATGGTGGTGTCAGACTTCAGTCCTAAGAAGAGAACCCAAACTCGAAACCCTAACCATCTCATGAGACAGAAAAAGAGAGAAGAGCAAGTTATCCTCTCTTTTTATCAAGAATATTTTGTAATTTCTTCGGTGGTGTCATCTCCATGATATGTTGTCATTTTCTCTCTCTTAAGTCGTGTCGAACTGTCGATATTTAGGTCATGTTTGGAGTTGGTTTTGTTTTTATTTTTCACGTTTTTTGAGAAAGAAAAAATAAAAATGGGAGAGAAACGACGTTTGACACAATTAAAGATAAAAAACGGAAATGAAAATGATTTTTTAATTTAGTGTAAAATGAGAGAAAAAGGAAAAATGACTTTTAGTCATTTTTATTTTTTGTTTATGTTTTCTCCTCTCTCGATCACAGAGAGAGAGATATATAGAGATATTAATAGATTTTTTTATACTAAAAATAATCTTTTGATAAAACTATCAGACGTATTTTCAAAAATAATTTCTATTTAAAATTAAAAATATTTTTATTTCTATTTTTATACAAAAAATAAAATCATTTTAAAATGAATTTCAAACGCACTCTTAACATAAGAGTTTATGAAGTAAATTGTTTCTATTTTCCCCCGTGGTATTCCGTTGTGACGTTGTCGGCTATTATCTTGTCGTTTCGCTAAGGCGTCGTTTTTTCTGTAATGTCGTTTACCAAGAACATGTCGTTTTTTCGGGAAGAAACAACAAATCAGAATCATAGACGATTCTTATCGTTCTGCGCCGTAGTCTTAAGTCCCATCGAAGAAATCCCCAACCACCGCCGTTCCTCCATTTCCCCGCCACTCCTCTCCGTCCCTTTCCATGGCGAACTCGGACGAAGCCAAACAGGACCTTAATATCCTAAACCCTAACAACGACCAGGAACACCACCATCCATCTCCCTCCGACGTCGAGGACGACGACGACGGCGAGTACGAAGCGGAGGACGACGGCGACGACGAAGACAAAGACGCCGATGAAGATGCAGAGGAAGAGCCGCCGCGGAAACACAGGCCTCCGTCGAAGGAGGCGCAATTGCGTGCGGAGAGGTCCAGGCTCGAAAACCTGATCCGCCGAATGTCCACCGAGAAGGTTCCTCTGAGGGTCCACGACGTGATCATCAGGGGAAACGCGAAGACGAAGGAGTACGTGATCGAGGCCGAGATTGAGGCCATCAGGAAGGCCGGGACCATGCAGGAGCTTCTTGAGGCGGCTGGGAGCGCCAATGTGAAGCTCCAGGGGCTCGAGATTTTTGACTCGGTTCGGATCACGCTCGACTCAGGACCTCCCGAGTTGCCTGGAACCGCCAATGTCATCGTCGAGGTTGTGGAGACCAAAAGCCCTCTCTCCGGCGAATGCGGCGCCTACACTAAGCCTGCGGTACGACTGTGTAGATGTTTTGTGGTTATTTGGATTTGTTGTTGTTTTTCTGCGTGGAATCAATAGTAGTGTTGCTCTGTTTGGTTGATAGCAAATTGGGAGAATTAGTTCATATTATACAATTTTGTTTTTGTTGATGTCCATATTTTGTATTTGTTTATCGTTAGTTTAGTTCATTATAGAATTTCAGAATGTTGTTTAGAATATAGTCGTAAATGAAATAATAAGCGTGCAAAGGAGGAATTTTTTTTTGGCTAAATATGGATATGCTGAAATGTGGTTATATACATGTATTACATATCTTTATTGGTGGAGGGGTATAACGTTTGCTTTGCATTTACTATCGCAACTTACTTGTGAGACTAAGCGTCTCCATGTAAGGGATTTTCCTCCTTTTGGTCTAGATTCTTAAAGTTTTTTTTTTTAGGGAGAAATGGAGTGTTGCTCGTTTTTCGGGGTTGTTTTATGCCTATAGGAGGACTTCTTTTTATGCAAAGATATGAATTATGTTTTTACAATTAGTTTTCTTTCTCTTTTTTTTTTTTTTCGGTTGTATGTATCAAGGAAAACAAAGATTACATAGTCCCGTGCTTATGTTGTACTTTCTAAGTGTACATCCTTTATGCAATCTGATCTATTAGATGTGCATGAATCAATAATGATACACTGTAGATACTAGATATGGCTCATGACATTGAATAATGCTTTTGTAGGCTAGATCTTGGACACTTGAAGGTTCACTTAAGTACAAAAATTGGCTTGGATATGGAGATCTCTGGGATGGTTCTTTGGCATATGGTCCCAACCAAACTTCTGAGGTGAGTGCAGGTGTGTATCTGCCGAGATTGAAAGGTTTCTTAACTCCTGTGGTAGCACGAGCTTTTTTGCTTTCTCAAGATTGGCAAGAGTACTCTTCTTACAAAGAGCGGCAGTTGGGTCTATCTCTTGGCGTAATTTCGACCAAGCACCATGACTTGGTGTACAATCTTGGATGGCGTACCTTAACAGATCCATCACAGATGGCCTGTAGGACAATCAGAAGGCAACTTGGACATGGCTTACTATCATCTCTTAAATATACGTTTAAGGTTGACAGAAGGAATTCACCTGTGAGGCCAACTAAAGGTTATGCTTGCGTTTTTACCAGTCAAATTGGTGGCCTTGCACCTGATTCTCGGTGTTTAAGGTTTTTACGCCAGGTATAGTACTTTCCTTCTACTTGCTTTCTCATGGGCAAAAATGAAATTTGTAATTGAGTTATGAGATCATATTTGGAACTTATACTCTTGAGTAATTCGTGTAGTAGTTGAAGTAATTTAAAAGAGCAACAACAACAACAACAACAGGCCTTAATCCCAATTAATTTAAAAGAGCATGATAAGTAAAAAAGTTTGTTTATTTTTTATGCAAAAAGATTTTCTTGTCATCCTTAGTATCCTTTTCCCTCATCAGATATGGGAGCAGGACGAATATAAAATGCTGGCATTCCTTGTGATTCTTATTGAACGGAAATAACATTCCCCAGAATTTCTCCTGTATTATTTTCACTTTGGTTTAGCTTCATCATACTGATAAACTTCATTATATGTTGTTCTTTACGCCCTTTATTGCTTAAGTAACTTTCTTGTGTTGAAATGTCAAAAAGGAATTTGATGTTCGCTATGCTTTGCCTTTTGGATTTTATAATGCTGCACTCAACTTTGGAATCTCTGGTGGTGTTGTTTTCCCATGGGGGAGTGGATTCTTGAACAATCCTTCATCCCTTCCAGAAAGGTTCTTCTTGGGTGGTGATTTCTCTCCAGTTTGCACTGTGGGAGGCCCATCAACAGTGTGGGGATTTAAGACAAGAGGCATTGGTCCCACAGAGCCAAGAAGGCAAAATAGCGATAAATCTAATGGCGAGAATTCAGACTCTACTGGAAAAGATGTTATTGGGGGAGACCTTGCTGTTACTGCATTTGCAGATCTTTCCTTTGATCTTCCTATTCGCTGGTTAAGAGAACATGGAGTACATGGTCACATTTTTGCAGGTTCAGGGAATGTAGCAAAATTAACAGAGAATGAGTCTCGGAACTTTTCTTTCCAGCGGTTCTATGAGTCATTTCGAACTTCTGTTGGAGCTGGGATTGTCGTGCCAACAAAGTTCTTCCGTCTGGAGGTTAGCTGTCTATCTGCTATTCTCCCTACCATAAACTGTACTAAATTAATACCTTGGTTGGTTTCGTTATTAATAGTGTTCATTCAATGTACTTATGCTAGTATTACAAGAAACTCATAGCAGATGTTATAATTTGTATCCATGTTATTTCTGTGTGAAATATTGCTGTAGTTCTTGCGAATTTCCAAAAAGCCCCCACCTTGGAAAGCACACAGAAAAAGTGTTGAAATGAATTAATCTGTCATCTTGATCGACCTCAGGGGATATTGTTACTATCTAGAACAATCAGGCTTTGGAGAATTTTGTTATATTGTGTGTACTAGTTTACTAAAACGCGGCATTGCATTATGTTGTCTTATTTCTATTGCCAAGTGCACAAGACTCATGGAGATCATGTAGAATGGTCTAGTGCGTGAGTGCCTTGTGACCAAGCATGCACGGACGTGTGTTTGATTGTTTATTATGGTTCTTCCGTTCTATTTTACTTCTTGATTCAGAAAGAAATGGCCTTGTATTTTGACGAGTGTAATTTTGCTGGCAGTGCAACTACTATTACATACTGAGGCAGTTTGAAGACGATCGCGGGAAGACTGGCTTTCGGGTCAGCATCTCAGCTCCGTCATAGGATCTGGATCTAATTGTCATTTCATTCGGGAATCATGATAACTGAGGTGGCTTTTTCTTTTTTGGGTTGACAACTCGGCTTCTTCACGAAGCATCTTAGGCTTGGAATGGACAGTTGCAATTTTTTTCATAATTTGAAAGGCTACTAGACCGGGCTCGAGAAAGTGTGGTCTTTGTTACGCCCAAATAGAGGAAAATAAAAATGCCTGTTGGATGTTGTAATCTGTGGCTTCCCGTTTTAATTCACAGAACCATTGAAAGGTCTAATATAAACACAATTGCTTGTTTTTGCAGGATCTTAATTTTTTTCTCGTGTATGTTGACTGTATCATCCCATAAGCAATTTGAATCATAAAATCTCATCACTCTGATATGGCTTTTTTAGAAGGTGTTCTGTTATTTGTGGACTTGAATCTTAGGAGCTGCCTTTTTAGTATTTTCGTTCTATCTTTGAGTGGTTTTGTAGTAGTCGGCCGCGTCTGCAATACCAGGCTCAAGGGTGAGGCCATTAAGGCTGCCTAAGTCCTCCATTTAAGCCAAGGCCCCTTATTATTATAATTATTAAGTAATTACAATATTAAAAATATTGATTTCTTTTCATTTCAATATATATATATATATTGATTTCTTTTCTTTTCTTTAAAAAAATCTTATTGTTGAGGTTTTAATTTAAAAAGAATTAGTTTCATAAATGCCCCTTGAAAAGGGTACTTAAAGATTAGATTTCTGACATAACACCTATTTTAATAATTCAAAACATTTTCCTTATAAACGCTGTATTATATATTTGAGTTATGATGTAAATCAACGTGTCTCCGAATTTCTCTTTTCTTGAAACAACACGCCTCCGATTTTTGAAGGTAATCACATAACCTGGTTTAGAACAAGATGATTAGGCGGCGTACAATTTTAATCATGTTTTATAAAATTGATGACTGGTAACGTATCAACTTCGTATACCATGTAAATGGCTTGAAAACGAGACAAAATATGCTTTTGAGATTAGTATAATCCTAAACGTGATATCATTCCATTCTGTGTTAGTGTGTTTCTTTTCTTTCTTTTTCCACCTTAAAAGATTGATATTATTCCATTCAGTGCATAGAAACGTCGTTATTTGGACCTACCCATTACTGGTCTATTACAAAATAGGAAATTAACGAGCTCGACAAGCTCATTAATAAAATATAATAATAATAATAATAATAATAATAATAATGAATTTCTTAATAATTTACGTATTACAAAGCATTATACCCAATTGATATTTAAGAAATTAATTAAGTAGATAGTTATCTTTTTTTCTTTTTTTCTTTTTTTGATGGAATAAGTAGATAGTTATCTACACCATGTCGATTGTACACCTAACTAAATTATTAGATTAGTGATTTAATATTTGTAGGAAGTTAGTGGCATAACAAGGAATATACTATAAATGAATTTCTACGTATTGCATAGCAATGTGTTCTTTTTTTTTTTTTTCTTGAAAAGGATAGGTAGCAAGATGTTTGAATGTAATTTTATATTTGGAAGTAGTTGTGACACTCCCATGAAGTGTGAGTCTTTGTTGAATTATTTCTTTTTATTTCTTCTTGGACTTTGAAAGCGTCAAGGGAGATTTACAAATGCTTGTATGACACTGGCATGCCATAACATCTATATAAACATACATGATACATAATACTTGAAAATGATGATGATAATATATATATATATATAGTTATATACATATATACAATGGTCCGTGGATATAAAATTTTTGGAAAAGACAGACATCCTCTATCTCAAAGGATATAGATCCACATTAATAGGGTCACGTATTTTCATGCATGGAAAAATAATGCTAATAAGAAAGCAATTACATTAAGTAAGTTAAAAAAAAAAAAAAGAGATGAGCAAACAGAGGTACTGTTGGGAGTTGACTTTACAGTTGGAGTCATGGGTGTTGCCGAATCTTTCAGACCAACCTGTTTTTTAATAGTTTTCACAGGCTGCTAATATACAAAGTTAGCCCCATTTCTAAAATGTCTCCTTATAGTATAGTTTGCAATTTTTGCCATTATTAGTTCTTCAAATGTTAACTTTTGTTCCCATACTATAGTTTGCGATTTTTCTATTATTATCCTCAAATTTTCGTTTTACAACAGATATTGTTTTTGTTAATTTAGTACTCCAACCACATGGTTTCAGATCAGAATCCTTTTTTTTTTTTTTCCTGATGATCTGATATTAATAAAGTTTGTTTGCCTTTTGTATAGCTCTTATCACTTGTCAATCTCTTGTGTGTATCTTTATCAAACAAAGTCTCTTGTGTGCATTGATGTTTAACTCAAGTTTCTTCAAATTTAACTTTTGTTTCAACACTTTTCTTTTCTTTCCATCTCTGTCTCTCTTTGTTTAGCAAACAAATCTCCACCTTAAAACGCTGAGCGTAATTTTGTTTTCCCCTTTGGACCTTTGGTAATTAATGATTAACATCTTTTGCGAATCCTTTTCTGTTACATACTTTAAAGTCCTAATCTTAAGACGCGATATATGTGCATGCATTGGCTGGCTCTTTTTTTTTTCCAAGGAAAGTACTCGACATTTTTTATATTTATATTTTTATTTTTGCTTTTCATATTTGATAATCAACATAACTTTTTTATCTGCAACAACTTAATTTTAAAGCGTCCATATCCAATAATATTTCTTATAATAAAATTCGTTTGTGTGAGCTACCGATAACTTTAATTAATTTTTAAGATTAGTATATTATTGCGAAAAATAATTTTTAAAATAATGTCTCTCACTCGGTTTGAGTTTCCATAGGCAATGTCAAGTTAGCAAATTAATAGCAAATGGTAAGAGACAATTCAATTACTCATGTATTCTCAGTTTTTAGTTCTGATCATATAAATGATTTTTAGCAATATTCCCGTTAGTTCAAGCCTGTGCGAAGGCCTTTTTTTTAGGTAGCTAGTATTTCTTGGACGGCACTGAATTTTCTCAGGAAGCTCGTGATGGGATTGAAAATGTAGCTTTAAGTGGTTATACGTCATATAATCAGATTATATACATAAATGCGCAGAGAGAAATACGACATGCACGAGTGCAGAATATTGACTTCCAATTTTGTCGATAATAATTATATATAATGTATGTCTCTCCCTCTACATCAAAGGTCATAACTGATTCATCATGATTTCTATGTGCCAATTCGATTTATGAATCTTTTCAACGGGCTCATTGTTAAAATTCCTGAAATATGTACTTTCTTTTCGTAGAGAGACAAAGTAGCTTTTTCTTTCTTTTCCACCCCTTGTTTTGTTGCCAAATTAGGAGAACAAAATATAAGTGAGCAGAAATATTTAAAGATATCCACCATAAAACTTTTTTACTTCGTTTTATTTCTTTCCTCTTTTCATGATTGCATCAAATATTGCTTAAAGATTAGATTTCTGCACTAGAACACCTCTCATTTAGTACTACAAAGATGTGTTTCTCATAAATACCATATAATATTTGAGTTATAATGTAAACCAATATATGTCCGAATCTATTCGGCCAGGAGAGACAGCTAGAGAGCAGAGAAAGAGAGAGAGAGAGCAGCTGATTGAATTATATATGTTTAAAGTTATTGCATTGTTGTTTGCAAAATTAATTAACTAATCATATGCAATTAATTCAAATATGACTCATTCCTTATACCTCTAACATTCTCTTACGTATGAGGGTTTTGCTGGTCCAACTAGATATATGGCAGGGCATAATTTCAATGGTACAGTGATCATGATCAACGACTGCATACATACATACATATATATATATATATATAATAAATAGGGCAAGATATATAAGCATGTGTTTGTGTACCAACACATATACCCTAGAGTCCAAAAGTATATAGTTGACTTAATTAAGTGGGGACAAACATGATTCTTGACAAAAGAACAGTGGCGTAAATTTTTTATATTGCAGGTTAACATTAACGAGTAAAACCAATGGGATTTAAAATCGAGCCAAACATAGAGGTACATTAATATATATGTGTATATATATATAGATAGATATACATAGTATATGTCCCAAACACATATTTTTATGTTTATGCTTATTTTCTCTCTCTATGATGGGATCTATTTTATTCGTGTTACGTGTCTTTTCTACTCCCAAGTCACGAGCAGACGAGCTAATAAACCCCCCTTTTTTTTAAAGAGCCACAGGATTCTTGCTCCGGAGAAGTTGACTAGTTTGTCCCTTTTCTCTACTTTATAAAAGGATTATTCATGAAAATTTTACCCTACAAACAAACTTATTCGTTAGGTCTTACATTATATATAATATCAATTATTATTAAGTAGTGCAGAAAGTGATTAATTTTTACTTTAATTGTTTGACAGTATAATGAAGGTCGATCGCTGTCATTTTTCCATGGAAGAGTACTAAACTCTTTTTTTTTTTTTTTTTGGTAGTTTCTTGCATGTCTATGATATTTCGGGGCTCTAGATCGAGTAGAGTGTTACCGTAAAAAGAATAATATATTATAATTACTACGTCTGTCCTTATCATTTTTACTATGCATATAATTAGACCAATTGTGAAACTGAAAATATAGGATTTGAGCATCACAATATATTTATAAAATGATTAACAAACTTATTTTTCTATTAGTTTCTATCTTAATTATTTGGTTATGAATTTCGGATATTTTTGTTTCCAAGTCCTTGCTCAAATAAGAAATTTAACATTTATCTAGCTATTGTTTCATTTCACAGTCTCCTGTATTCTTTATATTTTTACGAAGATGAGAGTTTCAAGATGCTCTCTTTTTTAGCAAAGGGCCGGTGCTAGCTATAAGACCCAACGGTCATTGCCTCATTGGATTTACGTGTTATATATATATATATGGAAAAATATTTAAATTAAGTTGCACTATATGTTTTTATAAAGTGGATATTTCGTTTTTTTATATTTCCTGCTCTATTATTATACTATTGAATATGGACCGGGTACGTACATGATCAATATCGTATGTACATACATAATATCATACACAAAATTGCGTCATACATACATACAAGTTGTACTATAAGCTATAAAGAATTAGAGAGAAGAGAGAGATAGGCTTTATTTGAAAAGAAATGTTCTTCAGATCACCATCAATTCTGGCTGAGGTAGGAGAGGAGGAAAAACATCAAAAATCATTTAATTCCCTCAAGCCACAACAAATATGATATTACCAAAATCTCATCATCCTTTGCTTATCAACAAGTCAGGAGACTAGGAACAAACCAAAACAAAGTTAATTAGAAGACCATAATCAGATGGAGAAAAGTATTGACAGCGGTTCCAAAGTGATCTCCAAAACAAGCCC